AGACGGATTCACATCTATCTTAAGTATTCACGCGCACATAAGCTGCTTGACTTGGGCAACAATAGAGGCAACGAAAGCATGTGCTTGTTCTACACAAGGGACAAGAGTTTTTGATTATGGGTCACTCTACTTTTCATATGATGCTACGATGAGTACTTGGCTGTTAAAAACTCAAGATGGCTCAGTGGCATGAATTTACTGACCGGAAGATCCATGGTCCTTACCCCAACTCCGGCATCTTGGCTGCTCCTGTCTAGGCTTGGGCTCGCGATTCCTTCGAGATAGGTGCCGAAGAGTTATCACAGCTGAATGACATCATAAAGGAGAGATTCAGCTGGGTTTCAGATGGGCTATCCGTTAAAACCAAATCGGTTTGCAGAAGGATCTATAGGTTGAACGGCAGGTCATTCTTATACCTTACAATCACTGCAGCCTGCAACGTGGCATCTGCGTTGTTCTGGAAACATCTTTACTCTAGTATTAAGTCCGTTCGGGGAAGCCTGGCTTTATGGTTCTTGCTGTGGGCACTTTTGTGAATGATGCTTTGCCATACCACACGGATACCACAGAGTGAATAAACAACGATGAACTGGGTGATGGGTCTCACAAGTTGAGGTTGCCTGAAAGCAGCCTTAAAAGCATAGAGAAAGTGGGCTTCTGTGCTAATATGTAGAAGATGTATTCGTCATCGTGAATAAATCCATTTATCTGTGTGATATTCTGATCTATTTTAATCAACAGTTAGGTTTGCGGCCGCTGAAGAAAATACCATCTCTTTACAATTTGTGGTGCAGTTACACTCTGAAAAAAACTCGGACACGACCTAGGTATAAACTTGAACAGTCTTGTCCGACTGAAACACTAAACAAAATTAGTCCGATATCTTACCGACTAGAAAAGCCCATGACAAAACGGTCTTTGGCCACTATACTTTGTGAAAATGACTGACAAGTTCATCTCATAACACATGGCTGCTAAAACTGAGAAAACCAAACAGATAATGGTGCTCTCATCGGTCTTTTTTTCTAGCGGGGATTCGGTGGTGTATCATCTGATTATATGTACCTGCATCACACTTCAGAAAACACTCCAGGCCGCTTCACTCAAAGTCTGGTTAGCAGTTCCTCAAATGATGCCCCACACTTCAAAGATAAGCTGCTGGTCCACGGTCACAGTATTGTAGTTTATCCCTTCAAATTCAAGAGGATAAAACAACACAACCCATTTTGGCCAAAAACCGGATCGACAATGGTTTATTACTGACGCAGCGGTCACTCACTTGACTGATACGGGTTGTGCAATTATTCCCAACAGAACTTTCAGGATAGTGTAGCATCCATGTATGAAGATTCATCCCCTATCGATGTCTGTCCCCATAGGAGACGATTCGCTCAGTCCAAACCAAGTTTGTGCCCCAAGAAAGCCTTAGTATGCCCCTAGGGACGTTCATAGTCTATTCAAATCATCACGGACTACTCAGGACAATCGGTTCTGACGTGACAATGCTTTCATACCTTTACTTGCAGACTCCACCTGACCTTAATTTTAGTTGTGTTTTGTTCGTATTCAGTTTCGTAAATCTCCGATTTTTGTTGACAAGCAAAAGATATCGCGAAATCACTCGTGTTCATCCATTGGAGGTCTGTTCACAGCAGCTAAAATTCTTCGGACGTCCAGATATGTCATTTCATTTCCCAAAAAATTTGAATATCACTTACACATGAACAGTCAGGTGAATACACCATGTGTTCATTGCACCAAGGAGTTTACCGAATAGTCCACTAAACGGTCCGGTCAATAGACAGGAATTTAGACCACATGGTTACTTTCAGTTTCAGGTCTTTTCTGGTGCATATAATCATCCTGGGGTTACGAGACCTTTTACCAAAACATCAGAACATACAGGTTAACACAGGTATAATAAGGCCATCGCCCTCCGAATTTTGTTTGACGACCCTTTTTGAGATTCTGTCAACACTCGGTTTTGAGTATTTCAGTGCAGATTAAATCTTCATTACACATCGGTATCAACTGTACACTCTCTTACAGAAGCGAGCACAACCCCTATGGAAGAAATTCCACGCTCTGGCGCTTCGCGCGTCCTGCTCCATCAGTTGGTTGGGTGCCTCGTCTATTTCTCTCATTGGTTGTAGTGCCAAGCGTGGGCAGCATGAGCAAATGAGGGGGGTGATGATACACAGCTCACATGTTCTCAGTCAAACCATCGATGTTCTGATTGGCCGAATGGTTAAGATGCTTTGCGACTTCTGACAGTAGGCCAGTGTGCCACCACAACGATTAGGAAGCTGCGTACTCGTTGGACTGAGCTTATATTGCCCATTTCTCCCCACACAGCTCAATCGGAACAGAAGAGTCCAAACTGCGGCGAAGAAACTTTACAGTCACTATCGAAATCTATCACGGCCTCACAACAAGAGACTATCACCACCACTGCTTCGGCAAACATCACGATGGACCCCACCATGTCGACACTTTTACTTCCTAATATGTATTTTGCTCAGAATTTCCTGGATTTACGCGATAGAACCGGAGAAAAATCTGTGAGTTTCATGCGTTCAACCATGCCGCTTAATCAGTCCTTATTGGCTCACTATGTGGAGCAAACAATTCACTTGAATAAAACTTGAAATGTCTCCTTATCTCGTACGGTCTAAAAACGTTTTCAAGCAAGACACTGTTCGTAATAAGGTTAATCATAGTTCATTTTGCGATAGGTCAGCATTAATCACATATTTTCGTAAGGATGCTGTGGGCGATTGCGTCAATCGATTCATGTCATATGACCAAGATAGACTCAGAATCCGTACAAATCGTTTTTGACAGCACAGTACAGGATTTTGCAAACTTGCAACTGTTTCGACTGTAGTCAAGGTACCCCTCTGGATCTAAACTGGCAGTCTAATAGGTGCTCGGTAGATAGGTTCAAGCAACTTGTCTCGATTGATCCCGTGACCGGTGTCAGTAATGAGCGACGCAACCGAGCTGTTGACCGAGTCACTGAGTTCGGTGTAATTCCTGCAGGAGAAATGCTCACGCATTCTCTTGGCGAGTTGGCGTGTCGTGCGCCCAACATGGTCCGCTGGACATTACCAGGAGAAAGAATATAAAACCATATTCTGGGTGAGGACTGGCAACTTGTCTCTGGGGTTTCAGTTGAGCAAAGCGTCGTGAACGAACTGGACATTAGAAAAAAGAAATAAAACCATATTCTGGGTGAGGACTGGCAACTTGTCTCTGGGGTTTCAGTTGAGCAAAGCGTCGTGAACGAAGAACGCAGGTTTGCAGCCGTAAACGTGGACCGGATTGTATATCAGGGTTCGCTTGCGCCTCAGTGACAAAACCATGGCAGTTTGTGTACCATCTTGTCCATATGTGTTTCTGTCGGCAACCACCTGAACTTTGCCCGTGGATAGTCTGACTAACTTAAAGTTCGAGAAGTGGGATGCGATGTCACTCACTCTCAACCGTGAACTGAATGGAGAAGCATACTTGGTTAAAGTTGCTCAGAAGAAGCTGTCTGATATAAGCATCAGAATGTCATCTCCGTACCGTAGATGAAAGTGGGCACGTTTAATCTCCCAGCTCCATAAAAATGTCACTCAACAGGGGATCGGGAAGAGAGACCAAGGTGACTTAATCTACTTGTCGGTAAAAAGTGTAATTAAATAAAAATTAGTGCGTTGGAAGTAACGCACAAAAGTAGTTCCCTTCAGGAGACGGTGGGATCTGGGAGTGTCAGATCTGATGAGTCATTGTAACCACAGATAAAATCCACGATGTCCATGAGTCGACCAGTGGTAAAAGGAGAGATTACACCAAACGATAATGTAAGTCTGGAACTAAAATCAACGTCCTTCATCAGCTTCACTGACATACGATTTCTAAAATCTGGACCAATCATTGGGCAAGTGGAACGAATGGATAATTAAACATATCGATATTGGGTCTCAGTGGGATGCCTTTATCATGAAATTTAGACAGGTCATAAAGTCGTGGGATTATGTTATCGACAAGCTTGAGACCCTCATTCTGACAGTCTATCAGCTTTTCCTCAATCATCTGGATCTGGTCATTTTGTCTTTTTCTGTTTGGTGAATCTTGAAGTACTACTCATCTTTCTTAGTTAGTCATCCTCATTCATGAGTTTGTTTCCTATCCGTCATCAGGCTCTTTGAGTAGTGTGTCAGGCCCCATCCATGATGCTGTGTTTTCAATCTATAGACTAATTTTAGCCGTCCACTTCATCATAGATTTAGATTCCCACTGATCATCCTACTTCTTAGGTTAATGTCTAGTCCCCGCTCTTCAACATCGTTGCTTCGTTTGAGTATAACTTCATTCAGTTTTTGGTATTTGCGTTTTTTTTGCGACTGCATTGCGTTCGATTCGGTGAGAATTACATCCAAATATTTTACCTTAATACGAATCACATTATCTGTCGGGAAAGACTGTGGAACGGTATCTGGGCACAGTGTTTCGTCCTTCCGCCCATTTAGACAAAATAGAGCGATTGAACTCCTGGATACATAGTATAAACCGGCTGCTATGTAGTCCAATTTTTGGAGGAAAATAGAAGAAATAATAAATCATTCAGCCGTAGCACCCTATGGATGCCTAACTGCCATGCCACCCAAAGGAAGCACGAGGGCTGGGATACTGCCAGGTTAACCAAGCCTAGACAGGGGAAGTCGAGAGTCAGAGGTCGGGTTCGAACTACGGACCTTTCGGTCAGTAAATTTGCGCTCCAAGCACTCAGCCATCTCATCTTCTTTGGAGAACAGTACGGAGGGAGCTCCTTTCTGAGCTATCCTAAAACAGATAGCGGCTGGTGACGAATTATACTATGGATTCTCATTATAGTTGCCTTCCTTCCGTAGTACGGAGAGCTACTGATAACCTACTGTCATACAAATAAAAATGGGGAACTGTATGGTGGCCTCATACCTTTCGCATTGTCCCTCCAGTCGGTTGAAACGTCAATGAAAGGAAAAGAAGTAACTATACCCGCCGAATACACGCAATCGCATGTTAGTTTGGTTTTCATGAGAGGTTGACCTGAATCCTAGATAGATCTTTCCTTCATGATTTTCTTGTTCAACTAAATGTGCTAGACAAAGTGAGAGATTCAGGTGAGTTTCCTGTGAAAAACAAAATCGTCTAAGAATTTCGTGCGATTTGGGCTCAATCATAACACAAGGAGACTGGAGGAGGGCTTGGCAACTGCACCTACCTGATAAGCCCGAACTGGAAGGGTGGAACCGGTCGTTGGATGTCGAACAGATTTCAGCGAGCTTACGAGTAGCGTATTACGTCTAAATAACTGTCGTTTTAATTTCTGAATTTCACCTCGTGTTTATGACGGTGAGAGATTGATTGTAAAATCAGGAGAGCCATTTTCGAAATGAACTTCTCGAACTCCGTTTGACTTTTGTCGCTGAGGCACAGCGAACGCAGGTTTCCCGAACTGTCCTCAATTTCGACATCCTGTAAGCGTTCCGTTTTGGTGTTGATTCCGGACCATGTCAGAAGATGATTGCAAATATCTGTTCAAACGTGTGCCACTGGCGTTCGCAAATCCGAGGTCGTGGGCATCCCTGGGTCCTGGTAGCCGTGTTCGTGTTTGTTGCTGTCCTAGACACAACTTGCACTCCGGCTAATTCAGTCCGACTAAGTCAGGCCGAATCGACCAAATCCGAGATACACTTTTCTGTCCACATCACACGTACGGGCACCAGTTTAGATAGTGAAGTGTCTTGGACAAAGCATTCCAGTCCCTAGTGGTGTTCTCCAGCTTACGGGAGTAACCGTGACATCTCAACTACACATTGGGATTACAGCCCGTTAAACGCATTGTGCTAAAAAGTCCCTGCATGCAAGCTGATGATTGTCTGAACGCAGGACATCTCACCAATAAACTGGAATCATTCACACGAGGTGCATCAAATGCCGTATTTTGTTTATTTTTTTTCCGAAAAATGTCCAGGAATCCTACTAATGTTGACCTTCTGGTACTCCATATCTTAACAGTTGTGCCAAATTTCAGCGAGTCTTCAAATTATTGTCACGTTGCTGCCAGAGAAATACTGAAACTACCTTTCTCAAGCAGAGTATCTACACTAATTTTGTTATCATAGCCTCCTTCAGTCAGTCAGTGGATAGGTTTCCGTAGTAACAGCAGATGCTGAATATAGACTAAACTTGTGTCTTCATCATGAAATGGATTTATTGTTCTGCATGGTTCAGACTAGGTGGGTCAGTTGAAAACGATTACATTGCTACACTGCTAATACCCAATTCGTCCTTACTCGAAAGCTGTTTAGGAGCGATTCGCCGTAAGTGTCACAATCGACAGATCGCATTTGAAAGTAGGATTTTGAGGCTCTGTAACCAGTGATTGCATTGAGTTCGTACGCCCTGGAGACGGTAGTCCCCAGGGTTCAGTCAGAACTGTGCCCTTGTTATAGCTACCGTCCCCGTCACAAGAAAAGCTAATAAACATGTGACCACATGATGTGATTATCAGGTGAGTGGCGCTATATCCTGTCTAAGTGCGAGTTAATCACAATTCTGATCAACCGCTCGTGTTCCGAACCGTTAGGTTTTCAAACTACTAGCCAGGAGGTCGCGGATCAGATTCTCGTTAGATCCGAGCTACGGCTAATTTCCAAGAAGGATGGAACAGCCGTATAATGCTTCTTCTGGGCTTTTCAGCATAGATTGGTTTCGTTTACAGGAGGAAATCTCAATGAAAACCAACAAGTCTCCTCACATTGCCTACAATCCATAGGTAGCTCAGGAAGAAAATAATCCACACTATGGGTGAAAATTCAATCTGAAAAGTATTTCCTCGAGGGTCCAGTCAACACGTGACCACTTGATGTGTAAGTTGTACGTAAAGGAGCGGGTTGATCATAAATTGTATACAAACGGTGTAATTTTCAACTGCCAGCCCGGAGTTTGCAGGTGCTAATCGCCTTTGAGATTCGTGGGTTAAGCAATGCTGATTATCTATATTGCTGATTTGTACAGTGCTTCACGGTTTTCCACCATAAAGTCGTTTCAATTGCGGGATGAAAACGCGATCAGACTAACCGTCAACGGATTTTTAGCAACCTTATGAGTAGTACATTACAAAGATATACAGACTAGCTATTGTCTGCATGTGTGTCACCGTTGGCCCTAGTTATTGTCTGCATGTGTGTCACCGTTGGCCTTGGAAAAGGTAAAGCTGTTAAGTCTGAACAACACCCCGAACAGTGGTTCAAACTATTGAGTTGAGTCATACTGACTGCAATCGATCAAGCACAGCTTCGCCTATTGATTTTTCGGTCCACATTCTAAGCCCTCCCTTTGGATTGATTACAGACACCTCGAGTGACAACTTTTCAGATGGAAGGTTCATGCACCGTATGAATAACTGTTCTTTCTGCGCTACTCATAATCTGTCTGAAGTTTGAGGAGATTCAGAATTTTCGAATTGAGATTTTGTCCCGTGAGTGACGCCAGAATATACTGAAAAGTTGAGAAGCAGCGCATAGTTGTGTACCCCACAATGCACCAACGGAACCTCCGAACATATCTTCTTCAACTCGGTCTAAGATGCTCATCACATGACTAGGATTACGATGTTTCATTCAGTTTCACCACCATACCTAATGGCTATCCATTTTATAATTTTTAACCAATGTTGATCTGGTTGGTTGGTTGATTTTGAGTGGCATCTGTTTTCTGTCTTGGAGGGCGAACCACCCTGTGACCGCTTCCTTCCTTATTACCTGTATATCGGATGCAAGATGCATATACTGTTGGATTCATTCAAAAACTATTTTATTCTCTCAATCCATGAGAGTTTGTATGAAGCCATGCCTAATAGACATTGAACGAGTGAACTTTCCTCATTACTCGTAAGTAGAGAAATCCGATATCAGAAAACGACGATAATCGGCACATCGGACAATTCGATTTGCCGCACTGAATATGATCGTTTTAATCCAACAGCCCAAACAATTTAACCCTGGTTTTTCCTCTTCACCAAGCTACTCTCGAATGACCTATTTTCTGCACTGCAAAAGTACAACGGGACGATCGGTTGGGACGCAACTGATAGCGGTAATGTTGGACAAAATCAACCCAGCAAAGGAACGCGAATATGTAGCGATGACCTTTTCTCGCCCACTTTTGCGGCCATTGTACGACAATCCTTCCAACAAGGTGACAGTCTGAGTCTGACGGAAGATTATAGTCAGGGTGCAGGGAGGCACTCGACATCCACACCTTTGACCACGCGTGATAGTAGTGATCTTCCTACAACAGGAACCATGCCAACCATAAGTCCTACTAACTGTGACAGCCTGGATCGGATCCGGGATGGCCTATTTGGCTCAGCGCCTAAACTGGATATCTCCGTTGATCCAGCGAATACAATCGTTGACACGATTGTATCTACTCCTGTTTCTGGCTCTGCAGCTTTTAACCCACAAACCTATTTGTCGACGCAAACTTGCAGAAGTTCGGAAATGGAGGAGCAGTACGCAGGCGGATCGCATTCGGACAGTGAGTTAAACCTGAGCTCTGATTCAGCGCGTCGACGAAACCGGGAAGATATCAAAGTGAGTTCAATTTACGCAACTAGTTACTATTGAAACACTCATTATTTCAGGAAGAGACTTTGGCCGTTTGTATGTAAACTCCACGGCGATGCACTCCAGTTACATTGCTTTCTGCAGTCTTTCACTGTCAGACTCATTTTCGGAGGATGCGTTCCTGAGAGGTCATCTGTCTGCGCAAATGACTGGTATTACTCTTAATAATGTGATCGCATCACTTGAAAATCTGTCGGTACTCGCAGAAAGAGTGCCCTATTTGGGCCAAATAACTGACATCAGTTCGCTTGTATTCGTTAGCATGCGCGATTTGGGAAGAGTGGACAAGGTGGGATTTCAGCACCGGCTACACTTTGTTATCTGGATTTCGTCGGCCTCAACGGGGTACACCTTATACAACGATTTGTGTGGTACCTGAACCCAGAGACAGCTGGAAAATCTTACCATCTAGGTCCGGGTATTTAGCCTCAAATTTTTGAAGTGGCCGAGTGTTGATATGAGTCGATCATATCAAAATACTACTCAGATAGGGTTGCAGTGAATGCAGTTAACCAGCTAATTTGATCCGATCACAGATCGCATCCACGACGACACAAAGGTCACCAGGGTCCAAAGAACATATAAAAAAGGATGAGTAAACATAAAAAATCACGACCGGGATAATCTAAGGTTAACCGCTGACCGGTTGGAGTTGGTTCCATTTCTAGTAACATTTTAGTTTGTCCCGAATTAGGTGTTTCGACAAACCATTTTAAAGTACACTTTCATGGTCTGTGTTGCGGGCGCATCACAATAAGAGGATTGGCTTTCGTGTTGCTACACAAAGTACTCTTGCGGCTTTAAAAAGTTCCACCATTTGGTATCTCCAGTTTTCACATTCCGGTGCTGTCCCAAATAGCAGGCGGCACATACTGGCTAGAAACTCAATCACGCAATCGATACGTGGCCTTGACGTCACAAGCATAAAAAACTGTACAGCTGACCACTACGGGAAAGTGACGCAGTTCTTTAGCATAAAAGATATACTAAAATCACAAACATTCTAACGAAAATTAGAAATTACGCGTTTTGCTGACAAGCGTTGTTCATAGCAAGTGACCCCCTGTTTTCAGACTATGCGAGCGATGAAAGTGAAAGATCATAGGATTTGGTGGAGTGTTCTTGCCACCATTGTGTGGGCAGTGAGGAGATTTCGAAGTCTAATTTCTTCTGATGGGATGAAATCACGCCTGGACTAACAAGTTGAACAGGCACATCAGATAAATCTTGAATGGTGGTTCTGTATGGAGTTGTCTATTCATGCAGTATGAGTTCATGAACCAGTGCATCTAGAATTCTAGACACTTTTGATTTCCACAACTAAAGTCCGCATATAAATGAATCTGGCTACCACCGTGGTGCTCTGCTAACCTTCTCTGTATAATGGATAGAGAAGTTACACAGCAGGCATTCGGTTCAGAAGTAGGGACTCGCAGAAGCAGGAACGATCTCTTGGCTTGGCTTATAACTCTAACGAAAACCAGAGTATCCAGTTTTTTCCGACCAATTAATAAATCACTCTCAACTCAGAGATTCCCTCATATGTTGTAATAGACGGTGGCGACACCTTGAAGGGTCTGAATGACCTTAAGTGAATTTTTCACTATAAAATGAAGACTTCGTTAGGTTTTCGAAGAATAGACAAAGGTATATCCAGATTTGTCTACTTTGAACTTCACAGTTTCTTCTGTTGCGAAACCTATCACCAAACGCCTGTACCTGCGTGCACCTTACAGATACAACCGTATGCCTTACGCGGATCTGTGGAGGTTTTCCGATGTCCACTATGCGAAAAGGATGAGATCTTCAGTCGTGGTCAGCTGACACATCACTTACAAGAACATCAGAGCCATTTCAAACGTGACGATTACAAACACGTGTGTTGCTTCTGCTTCAGTGAGCTGAGCTCTAACAGTTCCTTAGAACGACATTTGCTGACCCATACAAGTGAGTACGGAATATTCTCTCGCTACTTTTGTACAGTAGTGTCAATTTGAAAGCAACTAATCATTTTAACAGTTTTAGTGGCGCTGTTTCATTCCGGTGTGATCTTGACACTAGGCTACATGCTCACACTAGCTTCACAGATCATGAATAGCAAATAAGGGTAAGCTGAATCAAACAATTCAGGTTCATTTCAGGGAAGCCTGCTCACAATATCCCCAGATAGAATAATATTGCCGACTACTCATCTCGGCATATGGGAATGAGTTGAGAATACCATGGCCTATTTCTTTTTAGGTAGATGATTTCTTCACACATCCACACATTCTGCATCATAGTTCGCTTATCAGCATCCTTTTTCCTAATAATAACTTGCCTGGCGAAGGAGGAATAAATGAATTTGATGTTGAAAGGGAACGTTGACTGTCAGAGGGGAGTGAGTAGCTTCCATTTTGGAGGTCTCTTCTTGAAAGTTCCGGCATTCGGCGTCTGTGAAGTTTCCTGAATAGGTCGCCAATCAACTTCATTTAGTTCAACTAAGAGCTGAACTTCCTGCCCTGTCCATAACCTTAAGGTTTAACCGTTCTGATTCCCAATTCTTGATACTCATTACCCTTGGATAATTTAGCTAGCCACAACTGGAGAGTTGAGTGCGATTCCTAATTTACGTTAACGTGGCCACTCTGATGATTTTAGATCATAGGCCGTTCAACTGCTTTTACTGTGACAAGGCCTTCACCACAAACGGTAACCTCAGTCGACACGTACGCACGTCACACCAAGTAAAACTGGACTCTTCGGCTACCGAAATTGCAACTGAAATATCTGGCTCCGCTGCTCCTTGGAACCCGATTTCGAACGTGATTTCTAGTGCAACTGATCTATCTCTAAAACCTGAAGTTAGTACTCAACAGCCCTTCTGCCCCAAATCAACGGAAACACCGTCTTCAGTTTGCCCTTCATTCAGAACAATAGATCCACATAATAATGGCGCCATACCGGATACGTCGAACCTCACTTCAGCAGAATTAGTTGCAAATTTTCCCGTGATCCCGTCGAGTTTTTCGGTCGTAAGCCAGCTTCCGTTCCTCAACCCCTTCATGGCCCAGGAACTCAACGTGCCCTGTCCTGCGACACCCAATATGTTGAACGTGGTGAATTCCACCAATATTCTGTGTCAAAAGCAAGAAATTCGCACCCAGTTCATCGCTGTCAGTACAAAAGACAACGCCATCAATCTCGATAGACCGAACTATAGTATAGCAGGGCATGAGTACATACAGCCCGCGAAGATCTTCCAGTGGCTTATGGAACAACGCATGCAGAAGTACAATGAAGTTAAAGACGTTGGCGATGCACGGAAACTGTCCATAACAGGGTCTCCAAAGTTGTTTTTAGAAGACGAAACGCAAAAGACTTATCTACACACGAATGCAGGAAGCAGAAACTTCCACACGGTAAACCTACCAGTGTCGGAGCCACTCTCAACTGATGTTCTGTTTACACAGGATGACAACTTAAGAGGACGCCGGAATTTAGCGATGATTAATCGAACGGAGGACAGTCGTCAGAAATCTCCTGCCTATCCTCTAAAGGTCAGTTTGGATCTTTTATGATAGGCTTAACATAAGTATTGCCATAAGTATTGCTATGATCCCTTTGGCAGTAGCTACCCTTCAGGCGAGATGACAATTCAAGTCATGACTGACGAAGAACACTTTCACAGGCCGTAAAACGGAATGGACACTGCCATGAAGGCGATTGTTGTCGAGTTTCGTGGTCAAGAGATTTGGAATTAAGGGCACTCCAACTGTCGGCTGAGTTAGAAGCTATTCTTAATCGTATGTATCTAAACCCTTCCGTTGGTTTGTTGCAAAAACTCATAAGCAATACGGTTTTCAGGAAATACTGCCTAACCATAGGCTTTAATACCTCTTCGTATCCGGACAAAAAATAATAAACCAGCACAATTTTTATATAACCGTAAATTAATAAACCAGCACAATTTTTATATAACCGCGGTGTTCGGTCGTTGGTATCTTTATACAGTCATACAAGCGACTCTTAAACGAACATCTACAACTCGTTCTTTGGAAGACTACCGAGTGTTCTTGGTTACTCCTCCCATTCTAACTTCATACAGCTGATGGGATTGAGGAGTAGACCGTAAATACACCTTGAGGTAAATTGTGGGTTGTCTGAGGTAATTTATTTATCAAGTTACAATCTCTCAAGGGAACGCCTTGGAACCCATCAGTCTGTATTTAAAATTTCAAGAATGTGACATCGTGAAATTGGGAAAGCTGTGATCGGACAATTTGGCCGCTTAGTGGTCTCTTTTAGGACCAGAGGTTGAATTGACAGTGAGAAATAATCGTAGAGGATATTTGGGATGAGGTCAGTTGCATTCCAACCCGTTGCATCTCGGTCTTTTTGAAGATGCTGTCCATTTTTATAACTGGGCCTCGTTGAACATAGACAGAGTTCTGAGCCGCCAATAACTCATTGTATGCCTGGCTTTGTTCTCTTCCGAAACGTGATGGATTAATTTTTTCAGGTAGTTCGCCACAGGTTTACTCGGAATCGTACATATCCTTTTTTGGCCTATGGCGGATGCTTGTGGCGTTTGTCATTGCTTCTGGCAAGACCTACAACTCATTCTTCACAGAAAAAACATTCGATATTTAATTAGTTACGAAAACTCACAAGTATTGTACCGCCCATACTCGATCAGAGGGACCCCACCGTTCGAACGATTGTTTGTGACCGATTGGTATCCAAGATGTAATAGAGTTTGCTTCAAGCGACGATATTATCAGACCGCCGAAATCTAAACAATCGTAAAGAAAATACTGTCGAACAGATGGCGGTCTCAGTGCTGCAAATTCTGGGTTTCGCTTTCCTGATGATTGTTGTTGCAAATTGTTCAACAAAACTTGCTTCAGCAGAACCACAGCCGGGACTGCGAGTCATGAACGGTGCAAACATAATCAGTTACAGGAAACGGAAACCCGATATGTCCGCTTTCTGGGAGGGAGTGCCTGATTTGGGCAGGACTGTTCTGTCTACTTATTGTTCGTAAGTAGTGAAAACTGTTTGATACCTTGGTTTTCCAAGGTATCGAAGGTCTCAGAAGCACAATCTATCGGATCTGTCTTTCGTGGGTCTCACTATTATCAGTGGTGCAAAATTTTAAATTGACTGAAGTTTTTCAGATATAGATGTAAAATATGCTCCTCAGATTCCGCTAATCCTCCCTTTCTACAGGTTCAACGTAAATATCATTCAAGACGGAAAGGAACACTGCGACCCTGCACTGGACTCCGTCAGCTCGGAAAATCCAAACTCCCACTACGTAATCTTAATAGACAAGGTAGTTTTCTTCTGCCATTATCTTAAGCAGTTTTTGTGTCTTTAAGAATCCTATTGCACGTGCATTTTTTCATTGCAGTGGGAGTTTACAGCCTCCTCCGTCGCAAGCTACGTCGCATACATCGCATGCACCGCAGATCGCGAGTGGCCATCCGAACTCAAAAAAGTATATGCTGTGGTGATCTTGAACGCAAAACTAGGTAAGCTGAACGCAACATTTAATTAGAGTATCCCGTTGAGTTCTATTAGTCCAGGGTAGCGAAATTCGTACTGAGCTAAATGATCAGAAGGCAATATGCTTTTCCACGAGGACTTATTCATATCTGAAGATAGAATGTTTTCTCACCTAAACCGTATAGATACAGCCTAAAATAATGCGGAGTAAGCTAGTAAGCAAATGATCATGAACATTCGGGACGAAAGTAACAGAAGGGTTACGAACTGAGATTAGGGCCAGCAAGCCACTCCGTTACTTAGGACATCCGACTATTGTTACCACTGACCACTCCGAAAGGAGGTCTATGCATCTCTCGCCAAGCACAAAACCGTATATTCCTCCAGATAATTTAGCAAGTTAAGTGATGAGGTTTCGATTGGTAGTCATACTTTTCCAGTGCTTGGGTACCAGTACCATCAGTTAACTACAGAATACTACCAAGCAGATTAACCCTTTTGCACTGACTGTAGTTCCCAGTTTCGTGTCCACTGCCCAAAGATCCCATACTCCTGTGACCGGTCAAACTTAAGCCTTACTATAAAACCATTTTGGAGGCGGAACCTTGGGTCTCTGGTTTCATAGGACCTTACTGAAATGCTGAGCCGGGCACTACGAGAGAATATATACTCAAGTTAGCCGGATGTTAGTGATCGACAATAGGTCTAGCTTACGTCACCGTGTAGGAACTTGTGAGATAAAAGCATCCTAGCGCCTTTGTGTGATGAGATTTTCTGGGACTCATTGCTAGCAACAAGTGTTTTGTAAACAGACCTGGATGACACCTACATCGGTCTCTTGTTCAGTATGATTGCACATTCAGGAAAAGACAGTTGGTGTATACAGCACACCCCAAGCCTAGAAATTTACTGATCTGGATATAACTTCAACGACAGATTGCTGTTCCCTTAGGAAGGTCCTAGTTACTTGTTGATTTCTATACAACCTGTCCTCGAGCATACTGGTTCAGGTCAATAAGTTTGGTAGGATTCAATCAAATNCCTACAATCTTGTGGCCTGGAATATTCTATGTTTGCACCGCAGAACTTTTATTTTAGTTTGCATGAATTAGTTGCATTAATGTAAAACCACCCTTATCGGTGTTCAGATCAACGGTTTTCAAGAAGAAACCCGTCAATTCTATTCTGTTTGATTCATCCAGAGAAAATACTTCTTAGTATTTTAATAGGGGGCTAGGTGGCTCAAGTGGTAAGAGCGCGACTGGAAGGTCGGTGGTTCGAAACCGGCCTTCTTAGTATTTAGGGGGCTAGGTGGCTCAAGTGGTAAGAGCGCGACTGGAAGGTCGGTGGTTCGAAACCGGCCTCTGCCTCTCGACTACCTACCTCTAGGCTTGGCGACCTGGCAGTATCTCAGCCCTCGTGCTTCCTTCGGGTAGCATGGCAGCTAGGCACCGGGAGGGTGTTACGGCTGAACGAATTTTTATTTTTATTATTTTAACAATCGTGATATTGTTTATCTGCAGTGCCCTTTCCCTGTATAGCTACCATGACACTCGAGGAAATCACGAGGACTGAGTCATTACCAGGTTGCCTAAGCCTAGACAGGAGCATTCCAGATGCTGGGGGTGGGTTCGAACCACGAACCTTCCGGCGAGTAATCTTCTGGTAACAAACGAACCCTGTAAACTGCAACTTCATAAGATAAGTCCTTTTGCCGTTTGATCGAAGCTTATTTTAATTACGTTTGACAAATTTTTTCTCACTATGACAGCCAGTGCCCCAACTCCTTTGAAAACTTGCCCAAAGGTGAGGATGTGAACGTTTGCAAAATGGTTCGGGATACATTTGAATCAGATAGTCGACTTCTGGTTTTCACTTCTGGTTTACGAGCTGTTCCGACACCCCAACTAGTGGCGCAACAAAGCACGGAATCATGTTTTATCGAGAATGATATTCCAGAGGTCCTTGACCTGTCCATCCGACGTGTATCCAGAGCTGAAGAAGGTGCAACTTCAGGATCAATTGCTTGTCATCAGTTGCTACCAACGGGTATTCAGCGAGTTGAGGATTCCATTCTGATTATGAATGCCGTGTGTAACCAACTGAGTCCAACTCCTCAGCCGTATACTACTCAAGCTGTACCAGGCGCCTCAAGCTCAAATATTTTGGGTCAGAACCTACTAACACACTTGGAAGATATTCCTCTCGATTTCAGCAGCGCTCACCAAGCAACTCCTCAGCGGAACTTACCGCTGTCTGCCAAAATCTTCACAGAGCAAATTAGCTTTCAAGCGGGACGAATTCCGCTGAAATCCCTTCCAGCTATTGCGAGGGCAGCCATCCCATATGTGCACAAGAAAAATTCATACAAAGATGCGCCAAAACTCATTACATGCCCCATTCCTGGCTGTACGCAAAAGTTTCCGTGGAACAGCTCATTGAAGCGGCATATTTTGACACATACCCGTAAGTTTGAAAATATATGCGAGTTGTGCAAAACCGTTATTTGGGGAAAAATTACTTTCGTGGAGATCAGTGGATTTTGGAGTCTGTATTTCAACTTGAGTAACTGGGCCTCTACACAGTACAAGGTTTGATTTCGGGGAGCTGAACGGCCCTCAGGTGGTTCCCCATCCAGTGAGCGCCTGACAAGTGGTTCGCAGGGTCGGCCAAATATAAGAAAAAAATGGATCACGAGTAAAGAATCGTTCACAAGGAGTTACATCATGAAAGACGCTGGAGGCCTTTTGTAGAGTTATGAAAGCCGTGCGTTTTTTGTCCAGTGAATTCACAAATCGAGTATTTTTTTGTAAGAGTTAGTTTGTTCCTATGCAGTTTGTGGAATCGGTATAGTGACATACCATTAAAAACCATATTCCGTTTGAAATAATGGAAATTTACTCGATATCATTTGGCCATCAGTGTGGATTGGATTAACATCTTCCTCGTTTTCTGTGATGATAGATAGCGAAGAAATCATTTCCTTTTTGTTTGCACTTGCTTGAAATTTTACCATCACGTAGGTGTCAACGGTGAGGACCACATGCACGAGAAAACAGAGTATTTTTATTTTTATTATTTTAACAATCGTGATATTGTTTATCTGCAGTGCCCTTTCCCTGTATAGCTACCATGACACTCGAGGAAATCACGAGGACTGAGTCATTACCAGGTTGCCTAAGCCTAGACAGGAGCATTCCAGATGCTGGGGTTGGGTTCGAACCACGAACCTTCCGGCGAGTAATCTTCTGGTAACAAACGAACCCTGTAAACTGCAACTTCATAAGATAAGTCCTTTTGCCGTTTGATCGAAGCTTATTTTAATTACGTTTGACAAATTTTTTCTCACTATGACAGCCAGTGCCCCAACTCCTTTGAAAACTTGCCCAAAGGTGAGGATGTGAACGTTTGCAAAATGGTTCGGGATACATTTGAATCAGATAGTCGACTTCTGGTTTTCACTTCTGGTTTACGAGCTGTTCCGACACCCCAACTAGTGGCGCAACAAAGCACGGAATCATGTTTTATCGAGAATGATATTCCAGAGGTCCTTGACCTGTCCATCCGACGTGTATCCAGAGCTGAAGAAGGTGCAACTTCAGGATCAATTGCTTGTCATCAGTTGCTACCAACGGGTATTCAGCGAGTTGAGGATTCCATTCTGATTATGAATGCCGTGTGTAACCAACTGAGTCCAACTCCTCAGCCGTATACTACTCAAGCTGTACCAGGCGCCTCAAGCTCAAATATTTTGGGTCAGAACCTACTAACACACTTGGAAGATATTCCTCTCGATTTCAGCAGCGCTCACCAAGCAACTCCTCAGCGGAACTTACCGCTGTCTGCCAAAATCTTCACAGAGCAAATTAGCTTTCAAGCGGGACGAATTCCGCTGAAATCCCTTCCAGCTATTGCGAGGGCAGCCATCCCATATGTGCACAAGAAAAATTCATACAAAGATGCGCCAAAACTCATTACATGCCCCATTCCTGGCTGTACGCAAAAGTTTCCGTGGAACAGTTCATTGAAGCGGCATATTTTGACACATACCCGTAAGTTTGAAAATATATGCGAGTTGTGCAAAACCGTTATTTGGGGAAAAATTACTTTCGTGGAGATCAGTGGATTTTGGAGTCTGTATTTCAACTTGAGTAACTGGGCCTCTACACAGTACAAGGTTTGATTTCGGGGAGCTGAACGGCCCTCAGGTGGTTCCCCATCCAGTGAGCGCCTGACAAGTGGTTCGCAGGGTCGGCCAAATATAAGAAAAAAATGGATCACGAGTAAAGAATCGTTCACAAGGAGTTACATCATGAAAGACGCTGGAGGCCTTTTGTAGAGTTATGAAAGCCGTGCGTTTTTTGTCCAGTGAATTCACAAATCGAGTATTTTTTTGTAAGAGTTAGTTTGTTCCTATGCAGTTTGTGGAATCGGTATAGTGACATACCATTAAAAACCATATTCCGTTTGAAATAATGGAAATTTACTCGATATCATTTGGCCATCAGTGTGGATTGGATTAACATCTTCCTCGTTTTCTGTGATGATAGATAGCGAAGAAATCATTTCCTTTTTGTTTGCACTTGCTTGAAATTTTACCATCACGTAGGTGTCAACGGTGAGGACCACATGCACGAGAAAACAGAGTCGCTTCGTAAAACCTGTGCAGTGCAACGTGCAATAGGCTAGAGAAGTGCTTAGACCAGAGTAGCTTCAAGTTCGGCTTTTGCAGATACTACTTCGTAGTTCCGTACACTGTTGCCCCCATCTGAAACGACGGGTCGAAATAGCTCTCTTTCGACCGATAACCGCTCCTAACCAAGAGGTAGCTGTGGTTGTATGTGAATAACTGGGGTGGGAACCAGTTTTAGTGCTATCTACCCGAATGTCTTGCAACTCAAATTGAGTCTGATACAAAAGGTTTGCAAGTTCCAAATTTCTTTCCGATGCAATCAGTCATGGTTCTTTCATTTAGGAGATCCAATGGAGGGAAACTCTACGTCAGCAGTATTAAAGCCCAAGTTGCAAGCAACCCTTGTGAAGCAGTTTGGCAGTAGAAGGCCAGGAGAACTACAGGTTATTGTAGGTGATTGTCCAAGCCACGAAATAGGCATACGATCCCAAGCGTGAGTGCGAAATTTTCGACCCAGGCTAAATCAAAGAATCATAGGTATAACTTTCCATTTGGTCCCTCCGAAGGTGGGAAGTTGCATATTTTTCTTTGTTTCTTCCTACTCGAGAAGGGATTACCCCTCTTAGGGGGTAAACTATACCGTGAGACAGATGGAAAAAAGAAAAAACATCTAAGAAAGGATCAATTATTTTCGACAGTTTCGTTGGTTAATCTTTGTGAATCTCCCTGAGCGTGGCGTACAAAAGTGTGGTCTCGTGGCTTGGGCTTTGCGACGAATCGTAAAACGTTTCTTGGGGTTCGGAACGAAGGTGCCCGGCGCGGTTGTTTAGGTCAGTACTAGGAACGTTCCAAACTGCTGCTCAGCTGAAACCACGAACTGCTTGGTTATGTGGCTCTCAGCTCATTTGTACTAATTCTGGTCATCTGGTGATGAAATCTTGAGTAGTAAGACTGCGTTTTATCAGTGGGCGCCAAGTCGGCCTTCTCGGAGGGTGTCCCATTCGGACAGGTCGACTAAATCCCTAGTTCCATGTGACAACCGACTAGGACATTGTTCTGACTACATGCCAAAGTTGTTCGCAGGTGTGCTGAGCTATTTTGCGGTTCGAAAATTTGTCTACTCTTACTTAACATTCACTGTTTTATCATCCGTCGAACTGTTTGGTTGTCGTCGTCAGGTTTGCCATACAAGATAAGATAGTGGCTATAGGGTCGCTGAAAATTTCAATCGGGATTTCGTGCCGTAAGTCAAGCCAGTCTATGATGATAAACTGGGAAGCATTGGGAATCATCAGCAGCATGATTCGCACGAAACTCCTATAAGGAGTTCCGAACGCTCTACCTTCCGGCCAGGAGTCTAACGCCTGACCTTTTGGGCACGGGCGACTGATCAGCAGTGCGATTAACTCACCCTTGGGGGACAAACAGATTCACTCATCCTTCACTCAAGGAAACTGCACCGCGTGTTCACGTGGTCCCTGTCCAATCGGGCGTGACTTCTTAGCTGTGGCTCACTCAACTCGCAAATCACTCCTCTTATGAATTGTTGATTCTCTGACACTAATATTGACCTATTTATCAATTGTCACATCCTTGTAGTGGGATGCTGTCCAACAGCATGTGGACTATCATTCACATCCTTGTCCTGTTCGCCACTCAGTTGTGATCGAAGCTATATTAGGGTAGACTTACTTGTAGACATCTTAGTATTGGTCTAAACTTGGTTTATCGGAGTGATCGGTCTGCACTCAGCTACATGAAGCAGCCCACGTGTTAGCCGATCTGAAATTGAAGCAGTTTTAGGCAGGATTTGATTGCCATGAACTGCTATAGAAAGATCAAAGTTGGGCTCCACCATTCCGCTGGGAAGAGCATTTGAGATCAGAGAAATTCACCCTACATTTAACATGAGCCAAGGTATCTACGGGAAGCGGCTAGTAAAAGTGCTTTGGCTCCATCAATTTTTGAGTTTACTGTAACTCCCATATCGACAATCGTTAACAGCATTATGTTAGCCTTTTTAACCTATTAATTTCTGAAAGCCTGGGGCGTCTATTCCTTCGTGACGCGGTCATTCAAGTATCCGCACATTCACCGACCGCACATACCTGTTTTTAGCTAGTGATCAAAATCAGTGTTTGGAATTGTTTATAACGATGACTACTAAAATTAGACCAGCCATAATCTGCCTGTCACGGATCATCGTTGTAGACCACCCAACAACCGGTTCAGACGGCCTTTTGTTCCAGATATGGTCGTTTTCTCATCTTAAAAAACGTGAGTTAGGCAATCTTCTGTAGAGCTGGACGACTGGAAGAGCCTATAACCGAATTTCGTTCAACGTACGCCCGAAGAAGCCTCGATGACGAGCACTTCGAGACTTGCATGAGAGGGGTCATCACCTTCTTGTTTTTCAGCTTGATGGAAAGCTAACTCCACCATTATTTTTGAGACAGCCAAGAGAGCTACCTCAGGAAATTTCTGCAGCTGCATCTTCATACCGAAAAGGATGTGGATAGCAGGAGAAGTATTGATAAGACGGTTGGGGCAGTTCATTGACCTCGTAAAATTCAACTACCGAATAACCCGCATGTCTATATAACTTTGAGCGCCCCAGTCGACCGAAACGATAGCGGAGGTTTAATTCCAATGAAACACAACTTTTCGCAGGACATCCGCTTTAGTTACTGAGAGTTTTAAAAAAATGGACGTTTTTGGCACCAGTGGTGTCCGTTGGCTATTATCTTTTATATGAGAATTAAAAAGGGAATAGAATTCAAACTTGAATCATCCGAGTGCAGAGCTACCTTCTTGGTTGAGAAACTGGGTACACAGTAGTCAATTTTCTCTGCTGAATGGAGGCCTTTCTTTTCATGGATGAACTAGCCTTATGAGTGATCCTTATTAGGGGGTTTCTACAACACATATCTCCCAGTATAATGCTACCTGATTTTTGATGAAATCCATCAAAGAGTACAATGGTTTGCACCAACTTCGAGACTTTTCGTACTCTCATTTGATCTCCTCAGATTTTCACATAAAACCTGTCTACATTTCATTCCACACAATTGCAGCACACAAACCGTTTGCATGTACACGATGTACCAAGTCATTCTCCACCAAATCCAATCGCGAACGACATATGGAGCGTGTGCATCAAGTCAGTTTGAAACGTCAGCGTCAACGAATTCAGAGTCATTTGGCGGGTGCGAGTAGCGAACACCGATCAGACTCAAGTCTTTTCTGCTCTGACTCCATTTGTGGGTCCTTGAACCAAGATCGGGCAGATGGGTCTCGATCAAGTGGGATGGAAGAGCTTCGGGAGGACGAAATACTTTCGATGAATTCCAATGAGAAACAAGCTGAAGATATAAGTAACACTTTGCTCATACGCGCTGGAGACCCAAAGGTGGAACCCAACCCGGAGCGTCTATACACTGCGGCGTTGGTGGCAGCGGCCGTAGCGTGTAGATCTGGTACCAATGGCTTACTCAGTACGGATGATGGGGACGCCAGTACAGATTACTTACTTCCCGCATCTGTATTGAAAACTTCCCTGGGCCGTGCAAGTAAAAGGTATCGGAAGCAGCAAACACCTACAACAGTGCACAGCCCCGATAATAAACCGGCTACTCCATTGAGCCCAATGGTATCTACGAAACAGGAATGCCAGTTTGAAGTGGTTGAACCTGCAATGGATCTTAGTCTCCGCAGCCCCTCAGCTCTAGCTGTCCAACCAAACGTCCAATGCCCAGTCTGCCTGGTTCAAGTAGCACCTCGTCAATTTCGACGCCACTTTCAACTACATCAATCGGAAAATCCATTGTTTCGTTGCCATCTTTGCCAACGGTCATTTCGTGATCGTCTGGAGACACTGATACATTGGTCGTCCGCTCATGCAAACGAGTGGAGTCGGTTTGTAAATAACCTTGGTATCAAAGGTGGAGGACCAGCGGAAGCCTTGACATTTGCCTTCAACGCAAATACCGAATTGATGGTTGACCAAGAATTCAGTTCCGATGCATCCAAACTCACATCACTAGGAGAAGGAGGTATTGATCTGCGTTATGTCGCCTGCTGCGTGTGCCTTCATCGCTTCGGAAGCCAGCAAGATCTGCAGAGACATATGCGATCCCATACGGGCGAGAGACCATATGTGTGTCCTGAATGTGGGAAAGAATTCTCTCTGAAGCACAGCATGCATCGACACTATCGTGTTCATCTAAAACAGAACAATCAATCTCCAATCCAGGAAGACAAGCTTTCTCCAAACATTGTACAAACTCCTCCCGCAAGTTCCTGACGAAATATACCGTAGGGTGTATCACCCATATCTATTTGGGGGGATCAAGCGCCAAACTATATCAACAGTCCTCTGCTGTTGGAACTGCTGTCGGAAACCGGAACACACAACTACATATTGATTTTTTCACTTTTTCCATGTTCTCACAAAACTTCTTTTTGTTTTCAGTTGTATAGCTGTAACTGCACACCACATGGAATGGGTAAAAGGAAAGGTTTAATGAAACGAATTCGTTTTTGGTCCTAACTATTCACACTTGTTTACTGACCATGTTGAGATTTTCGCTGAGCTTGGGAATTTACTTGCAAACGCTTCGACACCAAACCAGCAGACATCATCAATGGGCTGTTGGGGGCCACCCTGGTTGTCGTACCGATTAATGCTTAGAATCTACGTGGTGAAAAAACTTACAGGATATCGCAGTATATTTTCATAAAGGAAACTATCATAAGGTTTCTGAAAACTCTTCGACGGCTCACGAACAATCCCGCCCTTCTTGCGGCCAACCTTATATTCTACTTTAATTCACGTGTTATAGAAGTTTCCAAATGACCTCATTAATACACCAATTTTATTTCAGCAGGGGTCTCAATTGAATTCCGGTTGAATCGTCCATTTATAATATCGCGCCAAATGGAATCTGAAGCGGACTTTGTACAGCACATTCAGTTGAAGGGTATTATAAACAAGGAATTCAGATGGGTCGGGACCAAATGTTATATAAGTGGCTTTTCTAGGGGAGCTCGTACCGCAGTGGGAATTGGATGTGTTAGAAATCGGGACATGTGTAGCTGGATGGGTGTTTCTGAGATCCAGTCTTTGCAACGGTATGGCCAAAACGGATGTGGAAGCTGTTGCAAGGGATCATTTACTAAGACAATTTCGATGTCGGAAGATCTGTGCCCTCCGGTGGTCAGATGATTGGATAGCTCGGTATGTGACTGTAATTGTTGTTCTAGATCATCCAGTGAGGCCATCTGGAAAGGTTTTACAGGGAGCATTTTGTGTCAGGCGCTGAGTTGAAGCCTCAACCATGGACATACCTGTTTCAAATCTTTTATAAGGAAGATAGCGGGAAGCATTATTGGAATACCATCTGAATAGGTGTCTTCTCGGATGTGTCGATTAGGTCCCGCCAAGCTTATCAATTACTCACCAATATCGAAACACCCTCATACGCCTTGTTATCCAATAAAGGGGAGCACGACATCGTCCAAAGCCTCCGTGCATGTATTACAGTTAAAACAGCTGGAAGGTTATGGTATCTAGCGTTCTAACTGATCATCTGCAGAAGTTGAACATACAGTTTGGTTCTACTGGTCACACGCAATAAAAGTTAGTAGTTGTGATGACTGCAAAATTCATCAACGACTCTTTCAAATAGACCACTGCAATTCTGGAGAATTTTTGTTGCCATATAACGAGAGCGCCTCGAGCGCAGTTACTGAGAAAAAGTGCTACGACAAATGGGTCTGAGGTATCAGTTGGATCACTGTAGAACTGACAGTAGGCTTTTATCTCTGAAGCTCGACTTTCTGTCTGCCGATCCCCTTAATGCTCCAAAAAGCCAGCTCACATACACTTATTGGTGATGTAGACTTCTCATTGTGATAATTCGGCTACCAATGTCTCCAACTGTCCGGTTAACCCAGCAGCTGAGGTTGAATGGATCACCGTATTTGAGGTACCTTAGATCATTTCACCAACTGAGCCAGAGGGGGGGCCGTAGCATGTGCAAGATTTTGTAGCCAAGACACCTCGTGATGAAGCTCGAAATGGTTGTGCGATTAAAGTTTCTAGCACTACGCGGCTTCTAGCTGTTACACAACCAAATGCGACCTACAGCACCACAAATTCTTGGGGGGGGGGCGGTACACAGCATCACCATTGTAGTGGCTGGCTTCCAAAGACACTGTTATCCGTCTAAGCCACATCGTTGTTTGATTTAGAACCAGGATCTAACTAGTTCGCCTTGATGTACAACAAACATATTGTCGACTGGGTTGTTGTGCTTTCGCCAGTTCCTATGGAAACATGTTTTGCAAGAATGCAATATATAGAACCTTCCCAAAGAAGGTCACATGGCAACAGGTCATATCGAGGTACTGTAGCCAAGTGCGAGAAAGACACTGCTCATTTTCCAGTACACTTAGGCTTAGAGATTGAAACGTTTATCACTGGGGTGGGAATCGCTAGTGAGTAAACATCATTCTTCATTTTCACAAAGTAAACTGCTCATTGGGTTGTTGAAAGTTCTTCGGCAGCCTACCATCCGTTGCACCCTTTTCAGGCTTATCAGGTAGACGCATTCCTCGAGTTTTTGTCAACCTCATGTTTCGCTTGAACCCTGATCGCACGCAATTAGTGGAATACACTCATTTGCATACTAATTCGGTTTTGACGGAAGACTCACCTGGAACCTGACTGAACCTCTCTTTCGTGACGGTCCGCTTCAACTCAATGCGCTGCACCGGGCAGCCTCATGTTTCACTTTGCACAGTATTCTAGATACTGCATTACCTTGTTGTTTGGACCTAGCACACTACCCACAAGGTTGCTGAAAGCACTTTGCCGACCCACAACTGGTTTCACCCTTTTTAAGGTCCATCAGTTAGTCGCAGTCCCCAATTTCCCCTCAGCCTTATGTTCTACTTGAATCTAAATTGCACGAAGTTTGCCAGCTACACTCACTTGTAAAGCAAGTTGGTTTTCACAGGAGGCTCATCTGAATCCCAGCTGAATTGTTTATGCTCGTCTTCAACCTTTGTTCTAGACGTCCTGATTTGTAGTACATCTTGACCAGCTCCTTCTCAGGACGAAAATCAAAATTCGAGTTTTGTCTGTTACAGACTACAAGTATTCTGCTCAGAATCCAAAAGCCTGCTCCATTCGGTCAGGAGCTGCGTTTGAATAGCAGTGGACTTTGTTATCCCACCTCTCGGTTTTGAACAGTTAAACGCCAAGTAACCCCACATGTGCCCAATGGTCAATTTTGGAATTATTATCAAGAACACTAACTGTCTTTTCTCAACCATAGCAAAGAAGGGTCGGACTTCATCTGGACAGGTTCTTATATACTTGCTGGATATTTTCACATACTATCAAGATAGTAAATGTTTTCTAACATACACCCGATAACCGGTTGGCTACTTCAATTACTGGTTAACAAAAACTGATCAGTTTCAAGCGTTTATTGGATTTCATGCATATAAGAATGACTTGATCACATTTTTCACCAGAAATCTCTGGATTGGGAGAGTTTTAAGATGGTCATTCTCGTCCAGACGCAACGATAGAGTAGTTCTCAAGTGCTTCTAAGGTCATAGGTAAGCTCATATACGAACAACACATCAGTTCTCGTATCTGACCTTGGATCCCAAATTTTGCTGTGCGATTCGTCCGATCAGATGGGCAGCG